TATTCTATACGTCAGACGTGTCCAATTATTTCCCGTCCCTTTCTGGTCGCCAGAAAAATCCCTCGTCCAGTACGAAACAGTTATAAACATGAGACACGAATAATTAAAAATCGTGAAAATCGCTCAGGTTACATTGTCCGACACGATTTTCGATTTCCTATAGCCACTATGAAATTCTTGTAGAGTTTCACTCCCCGATCAAGGATCCGAAAACCGAATTGCTCCATCACCCTCAGTTTTCGAAAAAACGAGCTTTTGAAAAAACCCAAAATTTTCGACAAAAATGAGGTACTGCATGAAAAATAAAAACGACGTGCACAGTTTCTGCGCAATATTTTTGTACTTTTACGAAAAGTTGTTTGTCCTGCACAAAAACTCTACTCAGGATCGGATTCTGTAGACATTTCTGAAGAAGAAACGGCCCGGTGAAAGTGTCGGAACGATATACATTTCGAGTAGATCGAGAAAATGTTCGACGGCAACATGTACACGACGTTTTGCCGCCATATCCTTCGTTGCTCGCCTCTCTCTTTGTCCGACAGGGCCGAGCTATGCGTAATCAACACCGATGGAGGAATCCAATGGGGCACCCATTTTTCGTAAATAATATTTGAATTTTTTTTAGTACTTCAATGTTCTGTCTTTTTTTACATATTTCTCTGGATAATAATCATCAAACTGTGATATTTTTCACAAAAAATATCACACCAGAGTATTTGCAGTGGGTAACAAAAGTATTCTAACACTAGTATAATTTTGACTTCTACGCCATATAATAAAATAAATATTTAAATATATATTTAACAATATATGTTTCAAGAAGTTTAACGGTTTGAAAATGATTATTTATTCATGATCGTATCATCGCTATAATTTAAATGATAACTGTATACATGATATACTTGTAATTCGAACAAATTCAGACTAAAATGAATATTCTTTGTTCATTATTTTTCTTTTATTATTTCCCCGTTTGAAAATTAATAATCTTACTTCTATATTTCTAAAACCATGTTTTTTGTACCTTTTAATTTATGATTCACGGTTTACTAAAAAAAATTCGAAGTGGCACGCCCCACACGCAAAGTGGGTGGGTATCTCATTGTTTCCTTCCATCGGTGTTGATTACGCGTAGCTTCGGCCCTGTCGGATAGAGTGAAGCGAGCAGCGAAGCACATGGCGGAAAAATATCGTGCACATGTTGCCGACGAACATTTTCTCGACCTACTCATAATGTACATCGTTCCGACACTTCTATCGGGCCGTTTCTTCTTCAGATATGTCTACAGAATCCGATCCTGGGTAGAGTTTTTGTGCTGAACAAAGAACTTTTCGTAAAAATACAAAAATATTGCGGAGAAACTGCGCGCGTCGACACTTTTTTTTACAAAAGTTCGTATTTTTTAAAAACTGAGGGTGATGGAGCAATTCGGTTTTCGGATTCTTGTTCGGGGAGTGAAGCTCTACAAGAATTTCATAGTGGCTATAGGAAATCAGAAAAAAAATTGATTTTGTTGGACATTGTTATCCGCGACACACGGTGTGACGATTATTATACTGAGTCAAGCATATAAAACTAGACAAACTTTTTAAAAGAATTTAAGAATATTGTCACATTATTATCAACTTATTACATCTGTTGAAAGAGAGTGAAAGCATTAGTTGAATGATGATAGTATCGAGTGCAATGGTTTTTTATTTTATACAGTTGTAATTTCAATTAATTCGCAATGTTTTAATCATTGTTAATAATGTTAGCGGTTCCGCAACGTAGGGATGAAGGAATTTTCGGCCGCGGAAATTTTATTTTCATTTTTATTTTTATTTTAGCGTTTAACCTGACAGAAAAGAAGCTTTCGTCCGAACTAACACACACACAATTCAAGACATGTTTGGAAATAAGAGGAAAAGCGAGACCGTGAAATGATATAAAACACACGCAAGAATTTATTTCCCAGATATACAATTTCACTTGAGACATGAGTGACAGAACTTATGCGCAGTCCAAATGTAATACATTATCATCCTGACTTGAATGAACTGTTGCCGCTTCTCCAAACAATTCTTACGTTTCGATTATATGTAGATAAAAGTGACTCATTACCTCGCTCGCGTTAATGAGTCGTGTCGTCCGTGTCATGCATCATCTAATTACGGGTAATCGTAGCACAGATTAGTACCGAAAGATAATCGCAAACGACCGAAGCATCCGTTAATGTAGCGTCGCCGATGGTTAAGTCGTATCTGTCTGATCGTTGTTTACTGAATCTTAACGGTAAATGCCCGAAACGACCTAGTTCAGTGACTTACAGCGCGGTAATTTGCGCGCACCGTAATTCATGGGGTCGGTGTGGTGTAATTGCTTTGCCATTACATTGTCACCGAACGTTCCGTAGTAAGAATTTGTAGTATTTAGTGGACTCGGATAAGATAAGGATAGCTAATTTGGTGGCAGCGAATTTGTGTGCTTTGTACAATATTTGAGCCGTTTATTTTGAAAGTGGCATAAGTCACTTTACCGTAATGAAAAGTGGTGATTTTTTAATGTTTATACGAAATTATTTATACTGAGAAAAATATCAGTATCCTGAGATAACAAATACAAGTAAATCTTCTCGAAAGTTAGCATCCATATTTTTAAACGTGTTAAAACGCAAACCCTTAAATATATCGACTTGAAAACAAAGTGACTTATGCCACTTTCAAAATAAACGGCTCATTTGTGGAAGAAATTACAGTGGAAACGGAGACTTGCAAACAATTAACTTCACAGCTTCGGCTTCACAACATCGTACGTAGTATGTATATTTTAATGAAAAGCATACAGTCGCGTTCAATAAATCGATAAGACAGCTCCACGTGCAGAGATCCATGCATGCAGTTACAACGCACTGTAGTTGCGCTGCCGCGATAATAAATAATTATGTCGTACCAGAATTTGTTTATACAGTTATCTACTATCGGGAAGTACACATTACGTAGAGAATTTTCCGTGCACGCTTGATGAATCTTTACCAAGAATTTCTTGCATGACTGACTATAATATAAATATAAATATATAATATAAATTATATAATATAATTATGTATAATTAAATAATTATCATATAATATAACACGAATATAATATAAATTATATAATATAATTATATATAATTAAATAATTTAAATGTGATAATAATGTAATACATAATTATATATATATATATATATATATATATACAATACATAATAATAAATGTAACAATAATATAATATATAATAATAAATATAATAATAGTTTAAATATAATTGTAATATATAGTAATAAATATAATACTAATTTAAATATAATTAAATAATTTAAATGTGATAATAATAATAAACATAAATATATATATATATACAATACATAATAATAAAAGTAACAATAATATAATATATAATAATAAATATAATAATAGTTTAAATATAATTGTAATATATAGTAATAAATATAATACTAATTTAAATATAATTAAATAATAAATATATAATATAATATAAAAATACACCCCCCGCCCCCTTGACAAGCTGTTGCGATTTCGAATAAGAAAAAAAAACAGATTAATTCTCCCGGGAATTTCGGGAGCTTATTTCAAACGAAATACATTAGCGCCGTTAAACGGGCTATTACATCCCATGGGATTCTCTAAACTATGACTACGGCAGAATTTTTTATATTCGAACAATTGTATTGATAACGATATCTCGACTGTGGCGAGTTCTAACGCATAACCACCAGCATCTTGTAGAGCGATATTCGCGCAACGATCTTTGCGGCAGGCTGAGATATATCCCAATCAGATTACAGTGTTGCGCACTGGAAATTCCAAGAACCAAGCACCATTTGAAATAATATAAAACATCGAAACGGCCCGCGGTGTTTAAAATGTATTTATGCAAGAAACATGCAAACGACAATTTCGACGTATCCATCTAAATCTACACTGGACGTGCGAATATACGGTGTCCCAGAATTAGTGTAAACGGTGATTCCTGAATTGATTCGAAGCAACTTTTTTCTTAGCGGAGATGCTCCCTACGATTTTCTTAACGAGTTATTAACGAAAATCCACGGATCGATCGGAGAGCGAATACGCTGTCTCGCCAGAACGCGCCAGCTATGCTCGCAAAAGTGACTACAAAAACAAATCAACTCCCTCCGAATATAATGTGAGCTCTAGTACACCTTTTATACAGAGTGTTCCAAAAATGTCTCGCAATCTGGAAATGGTGGATTCCCGAGGTCATTTGAAATAACTTTTTCCTTAGCGAAAATGCGATTCGCGGCTTTGTTTACGAGTTATTAACGAAAAACATTGACCAATGAGTGACGAGCTCTGCTGGCGCGAGGCGGCTGAACCAACGAGCGCGCGAAGCTCAGTTCCGCTCAATGGCTGGGCCGCCTCGCGTGAGCTGGACCTCGCTTCTCATTGGCCACTGGGACGTCGCCGAAAATAAATAATAAATGTAACAATAATATAATATATACTAATAAATATAATAATAATTTAAATATAATTGTAATATATAGTAATAAATATAATACTAATTTAAATATAATTAAATAATAAATATATAATATAATATAAATTATTATAATATAATATAAAAATACCCCCCCCCCCTTTGACAAGCTGTTGCGATTTCGAATAAGAAAAAAAAACAGATTAATTCTCCCGGGAATTTCGGGAGCTTATTTCAAACGAAATACATTAACGCAGTTAAACGGGCTATTACATCCCACGGGATTCTCTAAACTATGACTGAGGCAGAATTTTTTATATTCGAACAATTGTATTGTTAACGATATCTCGACTGTGGCGAGTTTAATATTCGTAGTCAAAGAGTCGCTAATAACGTATTAACGACCGTTACAAAATACTAGTAATTGATTCGTACGTAAAAGTTAAATAAAAGATTATTCTGATGTTGTAAAAACTTCTTATATTATTGTTTTTAATTGTTGTTCTATTACAGGAATCGCAATGCCATGTAGAATTCAAGTGGGACACGAACGTTACTTGTGCTTACAAGTTGAAAACACAGCTTCCTACTCCGTCGGATACACACGAAGACGTCCCAATGTTTTCCACTGGTCATGGTGAGCGTTATGTCAAGGTTATGTCATCGTTATTTGTAACGAATTCTTTTGTACAAGAGATCGTTTCGTGTTCAACTCCCGTTTCAATGAATCTAATCCGTACAACTTCTGAATGTTCATCGATATCAGTTATTTTGCGACAAATTGATCGAAGGTAATTTATAAAGAAGAAAATTATAGAAGTACGTGTTTACGAGGGGTGAACATTTTTTTCGACACCTTCTACGAGTTGCCCTGAGATCAAATGAAGGGTTCCTGCGATCCTTGAAGTAACTTTTGCCTTAGCGAAAATGCAGTCCGCGGCTTCGTTTACGAGTTATTAACGAAAAACGGTGACCAATGAGAAGCGAGCTCGGCTGGCGCGAAGTACCCGAGCCATTAAACGGAACTGGACTTCGTTGACTCGTTGCGTCCGCATTGAGCCTGCCGAGCTCGCCTCTCATCGATCACTGTTTTTTGTTAATAATTCGTGAACGACGCCGCGGATTGCATTTTCGCTAAAGATAAAGTTACTTCAAATGATTTCTGGAACCCCTCATTTCTCGAAAGTACCACACTTTTGGAACACCCTATATGTTTTCAAGGCCCGAGATATCTTTGTTGTACTTCCGGAATGTTGTCTGACGATACATATGTATATATAATATAATTATATATAAATCATGTTGTTTGTCTGCCTAGCTGGCGCAGTGGCTACCATCGTGCTGAGTGTTATCGCTACTGTCGCAGTTCTGTTTTATTTCCGAGATCCGGATAAGCGAACATGCCTACGTCCTTGTTGGCATCCATTTTCATCGAGAAGAAGCAGTGGACGCGTTCGGTACTGCAGAGTATGATCACATTATGTATTTTATCTACACGTATATCTCGAAGTGGTTTCAATAATCTCATTCATCTCAATGAACAACGGATCCTTATGTGAAATCAAAATGTTCTTTAACAATTGTATAACGTACGGCAATCGAATATGTAGAAACGTTCCTTCTTTCTTTAATAATTTTAGTCAGTCGAAAATAATATGCTCTTAAATTGCATAATATGCATAAAGTGTGCAAAATGTGCATCGATCGACAAAGTCTCCGTACACTGTACAAGAATTTACTTGAAGTTGCATAATTTGCAAAAAAGATAGTAATAAAGAATTTCTGTGTTATTATATTCGGAAATATAACATTAATTTATAGTGCAAAGTAAAAGATATTACATCCATTTGTTCACAAATAAACGAACGAAAATGACGAGCATAACAAAATGAGGTCAAAAAAGTCTCTGTACGGAGAAGAATTTAATCTGCTGCGTTAACGGAGTTCAGCCGAATATTTACAAACAACTCTCAAGAAAACACTCTAGAATCGAGTACAATTTAGTCACTTGGCTGTCAGTGAAGACAAAAAACGTTTTCGAAAAATAATTTCAGTCAAATATTCAACCAAAAACAACGCAAAAATTTGTTCAAACAATGCCGAAAAGGATGCAAGAAATTATAAAATTAAAAAGCGGCCCAACTGACTAGTTAACAAATTATGAATAATAATGCTACATGTACGGAGAAATTTATCAATTTTCTTAAATATATTTTTAGAAGTACTTCTTCTAAACCTATTAGCCCTTCTAATTTAACTGGATCGTCGGGAATTAATTAATTAAATGATTTTCGTGTTCTGGGTCAAAATAGACCGGAACCCCGCTACAACGTTAAAGGCTTAGAATAAAATAGTATCATACTTGTTGCAATTGATGCGTATCAAAAGATATTTTCTACCGAAGGTTAATTAATATTTAAAAAATGTGTATAGTTTTGTATACTTATTTTAACAAATTTAAAGTGTAACAAAGAAAAATGTTAATTATTAACCATATGCTAATTGATGTATCCTTGATTTTAGGTCGATACTACAGAGGAAGCCCAACTGTTGCTTGACGTCGATCCTACCCAGTGTCAAACGGATAGTGACGATGATCTTCTGGTTGCATAGTAGCATCTAGTTGTCCTTTTTAGCAAAAAATGTTTTTACACTTATCTAAGTAACGAATTACATAAAGAGATGATAATTATAATCGAACCCAAAAATGGTCTATGTAAGAAGTCTGATTCCTTGGACGCCAAAATTTATTAAATCAATTCACGCAGCTATCTGTTATATCCACGAGGAAAGCAGAATCTGCGTGAACAACGCAATTGGTCAACCTTTACAATTGGATATAAACCAGGAATAAGGATCTCAAGTAGATTTAGCATTATCTCTCGGTGATAAATCGGTCTGTAGGTTATATTGCATCCTACATAGGTTATCCCTTACATTCTCCTGTGCCTTAGACCCTTCTTCCGTAAATTTCAAAACCTAACACAATTCTTCTTTCCATCAGCACGTCACCTTCTTTCATAATATCTACAATCTGTGTTCACTAAAATGATCGACAAAGTCTGTGAAACCATATTGACTCAACCTTGACAGAAATTTATTGTGGACGCTTATTCCAGGTTGGTATTCAATTAGTAAAGAACAGCTGTGATAGAAAAGATGGATACTTTCCAAGCAAAAAGAGTGGTAGAAAATTTGCTTTTCATCATGTTGTTGTTCCGTGCCATGAAATATTGTTAACGCTTATATAGCATAGAGTATATCATATTCTTCAATTGCATTCATATTCATTTGTCGGATTTTATTTTATTATTACGTTAATTTGAAATGTTCCTCCATACGGGTATCAATAATTTATTTAAAACAGACATAAGTATATGAATAAATCAACGTATACACTTGGACAGCCTTAAGTTGCACTAGCATTAAAAAATTAGTAATATTTTTGTTCACTTAGGATTTGTATTTCTTCTTTTTGTATAAT